TGGTAAAATTTCTCAGCAAGCACCCAAGGGGGGTGCTGGAAGGTATTTTGGACTCCAAATTTCCCATGGCAGGCGCAGCTACAGACCCTCCGGTGTGGTTGGGTAGATGCAAAGAAAAGGCATCCCCTTTCGTTGCAAATTCCCCGGAGTACAGTTAAGTATGGTTAGGGAAGCGGTCAGAGGGGTGTCCCCCGTCTGGCAGCTACCCCTTGGAAGGCTCCTGGAGCCGGAACGGAGGACTTCCTCGGCTCGGCTGAGACTAGGCGAGGAGTCCATGCGGAACGCTGGAGGGGAGCAACTGCAACCGTGCTGTAGGAGGAGGGGTGGGGGGGGAAGGTAAAGCAAGTAAAAGCTTGGCTTACCTTAATCGGAGCGTAGAGGTGGCAGGGCCAATGTTGGGTAGGTCGGGGGAGGGGGCCATGGCCGGGCCAACGACCCCAGCTCCCGGGTTTCGGCACCACTTGTCCGACCTACCCTCTGCGGGAGGACTGAGCTCGTTTGGGAAAAAACCAGGCCGCAGATTAGAAGAAAGTCTTAAGTTCAGGCTTTATTGAGAGGAAAGAGCCTCCGGGCAGACCAGCCGGGAAGAACAGGAAAATGGCCACATTGCTCAGAGGAGCAGAGTTCTTTTATAGGGGGCTGTAGGGCTGAGGGAGTGGGGAAGCCTAGAGAGCCGAGGTGGCGGGCAACGGTTGGTCAGTTTAAACCACTGGGCGGGAAGCTGGGCGGCGGGAAACTGTGAGGCGGTAAGCCGGGAGGCAGGAAGTTGGGGAGAGCTGATGAGGCAGGTGGTGATTGGTCAGCCGGTTGCCGGGCAGGAGGTGGTTGTGGCCGGGTGGGAAGGCCAGGACGGTATGTAGAGTGAAAGATAAGGGAGTCCCTTCGTGTGGGAGGGGGAGGGCTTTCACGACAGGGACAGAGTTTTCCAAACAGATTTATGAATACTTCATTCTTAATTATGGAAAAATTGAAGCTTTCAGAGCCCTGGACATTGTACACATTTAACCTGTAATAAGGTACTTTACTCATTGGATGGGTATTAGGTAACACGGCATTCATAGTTTTTATAAAATGATACTGCAATCATGGTTCTCTATTGACAATTTATAAGAAGAGAATTCTGTATGATAGTATTTACACCGTAAAATAAACTCATATACAATCAAATAAATTTTTCGCAGGTTCTACTCAATTTCTACCCAGGGAAGTAACAGCAGAACAACTTACTCCATATTTTCTTAATGACACTCTACTTTTTCTTTTCATGTTTAATATTGCCATTTTATATTTGTTTAATGTAAGAACTTTATAAATGATTAAAACTCTGGCTGTGTATTATTTCCTGCTTTATTAGTATTTTTGAATACCACTTCACTAATACATGTAAATCATTAATACTTCCAGAATTTTTGACTTTTTATAAAATATTTAAGATATATTGGTCCTCCATTATTTTTAGAAACAACTTTACATTCCAACATTTTTATTCAAAAACCATTTTATTTTAACATTTGAAATAAATGTGAAATATAAAAATATTTAATTATGTTTCTGACAGTCAAATATGCTCCCACATTTGTTATTCTTTGAAAGGTTAGTCATTTTAAATTAGAAAAGAGAGAAAAGCTGAATCTCAAAAAATGAATCCTCTTATGTTTGTCTGTGTGTAGCTATTAACCTTTGTTCTTTAACTGACTTTGTAACAGAAATTTACCTAATATGAAGTTCTTAGAATTTCTGGTCAGGAGTAGGGAGTTTTCTTTGCTATTATATGTAACATGACTTGAGATTATCTCATTGCCATCCTAAGCATCTTTAAAACATGTATGTAATTTCAAATGTGCTTGAAAAATTAAATTTGATAATGAATTGCTTGTTGATAGAGGAAAATAAAGCAATAAAATTTTATTTAAAATTAAGCAGTCTGAGATAGAGCATTGTAATTTTAATGAAAGTGCAGGGTTAGATTATTGAAATAAAGTGACAGGAAACAGCAGGAATTTTCTTCTTCAGGAAGAGATTATGGCCTCTTTTGTACATAAGAGGTGTTTAATACAGTTTGAGCATTCCTAATCTAAAAATCCAAAATGCTCTAAAATACTAGCCAGCATGACAAACATGACCTCACGTGATGACTCACAGTCTAAACACAGACAAAACTTTGTTTTATGCACAGAATTATTAAAGAGAATGTATGAAATTTTATCTGTATAAAGCATATATGAAACATAAATGAATTTCTTCCTTAGACTTGGGACTTGTTGCCAAGATATACCTCCTTATGTATGTGCAAATATTCCAAAATCCAAAAAACAGTTGAATTTTAAAACACTTCTGGTTCCAAGCATTTCAGATCTTGGCCTGTAAATATAATACAGGAAGATCACCGAAGTGGAAGTCTGTTGTTAGGAAGGGCTTCACTTAAACTTTGCTGTTAGTGATCTAGTAAGTCACTTCATAGTTTTGCACTCGACTTTGCAAATCTATAAAACAAGAAAGTAGGACTGGCTTTTAAGCGTCTTTTCTACCTCAAATAATTTGATTCTAGATATTTAAAAAAATTAAGTTGTAAGATTAGGATAAAAGCGTTCTATAAACAGGGTTCAAACACTTTTTTTTTCTCAGAAAGTACCAGTTTTTTGTTATGTCACTTACAACAAATTCTGTAGATTGACTCCTGTAAAGAGAAAGAGTTTTGTTATTGTGTCAGTTTGGAGTAATAATGAAGAAAGTTCAAAACTGGTTATGCTATAAAGTGTCAGTCTAAAGTGGACTGTCACTCACTCTGGAAAAATATTGCATTTTTAAAATCTTCTCCAGTATAAATTTTTGCTCTCAAGATAATCATTATAGGTCAAGAGACATTTTACTCTACACAAATGAATCTAAGTTTATATTAGATGCAATCCCAGGACAGTTCTGCATAGCAGATTACCTGTTGGTTCTTGGCCATACTTCAGTTAAGAAAGGAACCCTGAAGTTGGCCACAGTGGCTCACACCTGTAATCCCAGCACTTTGGGAGGTCGAGGCGAGCAGATAACGAGGTCAGGAGATTGAGACCTTCCTGGCCAACGTGGTGAAATTCTTCTCTACTAAAAATACAAAACTTAGCCAGGCATGGTGGCACGCACCTGTAGTCCCAGCTACTTGGGAGGCTGAGGCAAAGGAATTGGTTGAACCTGGGAGGCAGAGAGGTTGCTGTGAGTTGAGATCGTGCCACTGCATTCCAGCTTGGTGATAGAGCAAGATTCTGTCTCCAAAAAAAAAGGAACCTTTTTCCGGGCATATGCTTAGCTTACATGCCAAGTAGTCGTTACACTCCTGTATTAGACTCATTTTACTGTTGAAATAGTAGGGATCAGCTGCACAGAATTTTATCACTAGCATTTTTCGAGAGGTATCCATAACACTGTAGTATATTTTCAACATACATGTCTAATCCTCAATCTAAAGTATATGTTTACAGAGCCATATTTTGTTTTCTGGTTTTAAGCCATTAGATACCAAGTGATAACAGGATATCAAAACTATGTGTAACACTGAACTCTTACAGGTGCCGTATAATTTTTTTTTATTGGTGTGAATATAGGCTATTAATGCTGTGTCCTTTGTGAATTTTAAAAAACTTTTTTTTCTTTGTTTAACAACACTGAACAGTGAAGGAGAGACCTGAGTTACTGTTCCCACTTTGCCAGTACCCTCTGCTATAAAACTCCTGTTCTATGGAAGAGTATATGAAATTCTGAAGAATGCATAAGTGAATAATATATTCCCACCTCAGTGATAAAATGAGGTATTGAGCAAAACAGTCTCAAAGACAAATTAAAAAAATTGTATGGAGGGTTTGTTTTTGTAATAAAGACAATTCATTATAGTATCTAGTTTCTGGAATGCTTCTTGCATTTTATCCACAGAAGCCCTTGAAAAACATTGTTTTCATTTTTTTATTTCCATAGGCAAGGAAGCTTCCAGAACAAGTAATTGGTATAGCCAAGTCCTTCTACTCCAAATCTCAAATTTAGTTTAGTTATGTGACATCAAAACAGAAGCATGATCAATATATATCCATGCCACCAATTCCCTTGCTTGATGGTGACAGGCAACATCCAAGATGTCGTCTCTAGCTGAAGCTGACCATGTCCTGCCTTTTATGATGGGTTCTGGGCATCCCAAGGATTCATTTCATTTCTAGAACCTAGCGAGACAATTGGTACTGGCTGCCAGCCAATGGCCCTACTTAGGGCTTCCCCACCCAGGTGCCAGGCAGTAGAATGACTCTAAACATACCAGGCTGAGCTGTCTCTATTATTGCTCTTGCTTTTTAACGTGAAGCTGTGAACAGACTTAAGCCATCAAAAGAATGCTTTTTTTCCTGCAAAGCCCAGCCAAATCATCTCTAGACTGCTGATCTCAATTGTGTACCTGTCACATGCCAATCGTATCCCAGGCTTTGCTTGTGTATTTTAGCAAGCACTGTTGAGCCCCTGTTGTGTGGCTAGCTGAGCTACATGCGCATTCCTTCATGTCAAATCACTTACAGTTTAACAGACGATTAGACATATAACTGCCAAAATGAGCAGTGTAGATCAGTGTAGATGCTAAGTGCCCAGTTTAGGTTCTTGTGGGCAGGACTGCCTCGTGGACTTTTTATTCACCTTAATTTTGGATAATTGCTATGAGTGAAAATGTAGACTTTTTTGTGTTTGAAATAGTATCCTGGCTTAGGTTTTTTAGAGAGGAAATTAAAATTACAGTTAGTGTTTAGTACTAACTTATTACTTAATCCTCCAAAGAATTTTTAAAATCTTCTGTTTATATGGAAAACCAATTTTATTATGTTTTGTTTTGGGATAAGTAAGATTGCTGTCTGTATTTTAGAATAACACCTAAAAACTACCATGGAGAAGAAAAACCACTTAGGTAAATTGCTTAATTTTAATGAGAGAGAAATAATGCTCTCTTGATATTTATTTTGCTTTAATTCTTGTGTTTTTGTCAGGGGTAAAAGCATGTCTGCGAAGAAAAGTATGTGAACAGGAAGAAAAGTATGAAATTCCTGAAGGTCCACAGAGAAGCAGGCTCAACAGAGAACAGCTGGTATTTTTCTTTTAATACAACTTTCATTGTTCTTATTATGACATACCGTTATTATCACCATCAGGAAAAACTTCTGCCCTTTCAACAACTACAGGTGACTGATTAAAATTTTAATTGTGCTTATTTCAAGCACTTGATTCTGAAAGATGATCACGATGAGCAATAAAATCCAGAAGGTAATAATTTCATACTGTTAATGGATTTTTGGCATCTTGAACATTCCCATAAACCTTTCAGAATCTGAGGTAAATCTCAGATACAGGAAGTAGCTTGAAAGAAGACTTACAGCTGCTGCTCGGATTTAGTTACCATATGTCTTTATGGCCACATACTGCAGTTTTAATGGATAATATTGCATTATCCTGTTGATATATATAAGTATATTGGAAATGACAAAGACAATTTCCATAGAGGGAATTATGAAACTTTTTTATTTCCAAAGAGCACACAGAAGTATGTTTCATAGCTGATTGGACATCTAGCCTCACTACAAAAATCTCTTTGTCCCTGTGAATACATTTCTGGAACTGTGGAGGGCACATTCCCACAGTGGCTGCCCTGAGGACCTTAGGTTGGTAATATGTAGGGGCCTGAATGTGGATGGGCAGAGGAGGTTCATGGAAAAGCTGTTAATCTTGTAATTTAATTACATTTGGCCTGGTGTCTCTGAAGCCTATTTCAAATAAGCTAGGAATTTTGGGAGCTTTAAGTCCCACCAGATAAGCATGAACATCCTGATGAAAAAAGTTAGATGAACAGTTTTGTTTTTTTTTTTTCTTTATACCAAGCACATCTAAAATTTTACAAGAATGGAAAGGAACTGAGAAAGTCACTGAATCATAGGGTAAAACTTGTAAATAGAAAGCCCTATTTGCCTAAGTATTTTTCTTGATCCAGTTAGTATGCTTGAAATATAACTTATCCCAATTCCTCATTAAATAGCTTCATAGCTGCTCGTAATTATTACAGATTGAGCATCCCTAATCCAATATCCAAAATGCTCCAAAGTCCAAAACTTTTTGAGCTTTGACGTGATGCCACAAGTGGAAAATTCTACACCTGACCTCATGTGACAGATAACAGTCAGAACACAGTCAAAATTTTGTTGCATGCACAAAATTATTGAAAATAATGTATAAAATTAACTCAGGCTCTGTGCATAAGGTGTACATGAAACATAAATGAATTTTGTGTTTAGGCTTTATACATTCTTAAGATATCTTGTGTATATGCAAATTTTTCAAAATCCAAAAATTTCTGGATCTGAAATGTTTCTGGTTCAAATGTTTCATGTAAGGGATACTCAACCTGTATTTTTATTTTCCTCATTCATATGCAGTGTTTTTAAATATAGTATTTTGATCTGCCTTTAACAAATGTTTTCTCATTATTTCAGTTGCCAAAACTGTTTGATGGATGCTACTTCTATTTGGGGGGAACCTTCAAACACCATCCAAAGGACAACCTTATTAAGCTCGTCACTGCAGGTGGGGGCCAGATCCTCAGTAGAAAGCCCAAGTCAGACAGTGACGTGACTCAGACCATCAATACAGTTGCATACCATGCCAGACCCGATTCTGATCAGCGCTTCTGCACACAGTATATCATCTATGAGGATTTGTCTAATTATCGCCCAGAGAGGGTTCGTCAGGGCAAAGTCTGGATGGCTCCTTCCAGCTGGTTTATAGACTGTGTGATGTCCTTTGAGTTGCTTCCTCTTGACAACTGAATATTATACCAGATGAACATTTCGAATTCAACTTTCACAGTTTGTGAGAGCCCAGTCATTGTACTGTTTTTAGGTCCACATTTTTACAAATAGGGAGAATCATTCATATTTGTCTTTGAACTAAAAACAAAAAGTCTAATGTCAGATTAGGAATTCACTTTGTGTTTACCATTTAGATGCTGAAATTGCTTTTAAGGAATTTTCTTTTTAAAATTGGCATGCTTTTTGATTCATCATGTCTTTCTATTCAGATTATTGGGTATCAAAGATTAATGAGAGGACACCAGACTCGTGGTTAAATAGACAAGTGATATCATTACTTAGTAAAATCTATACCTGCCACCATTAAAAAACTTGCTTTTTTTTTAGTAAACAGAATATTATCAAATAATTTATTTTGGCTTTATTGAAAAGAGAGTATCTGATCTTAAATGTGCCACCATAGATGTTAGATTCTCCTATCTGCAGTTGTCTTTATCCTATTTTTTGGGTTTTTTTTTTCCTTATAATTTACTTTGTAGTCTGTTTCTACACTTTTATCCCTGTTTTTTATCCTGTATATTCACCAGGAAATCATGATTTTATTCTTAACATTTTTTTTTTTTTGGTGGTAAAAATCAATACTGAGTTCATGGTACATGTTTTCATTCCGTACATTTGCTTATAACTGTCAATTTATAACTCTGTTTGTCTACTACTTATGTGTATATACTTAGAACATTTTAACACATTTTAATATCAGTTTTTAGAAGGTCTGACTAGTCTAGCGAATTGTCAGTCCAACATCATTACTTTAAGAAGCAGTCTTATTCTGGTAGACCTTGTTGGTACTTCTAAAATAATTTTGAAGGTCTTAAATTCTTCCTTTGTAAAGTTTTTTTAAAGTTTTTAGGTTGGCCTGGGAGCAGAAGTTGGTGATTACTTGATTTAGAATAGGTTTTTTTCCAGATCATACAAAAGGCCATACAGTAAGTGTAGAAATAAGAGGGGGAGGACTTACTAATATCAAAGAGGCAAGGCCTCAGTGAGTGGGCAGGATACCCCCTGAGAATGGCCAGACTGGGGGAGGTTACTCTGCTCTGGGTGCTCTTATTCACAAACAGACAAGGATACATTAGATTATTTTGAAACATTTTTTTAAGAAACAGAATTCTTTAATAATTCCTTCCTAGACATTGAATATTGAATATACTTAAACAAAGGCTTGGGGAAGGAGACACTGAGAGACCTTCCAGTTTGGTCCCTCATGAGCAGAAGAGAACAGTTTGATAACTACTGAAATAGAATATCCCTAGTTTTAAAATACTGAGAATCTCCAAAGTTCATCAGCATCTTAAGATGTACTTACTTGAAAGTTTGAGATTCTGTTTATCTTTGAAAATATATTTTGCTTCAATTCTTTCTTTGACATGTTGTTTTTTCATATCAAGAAATACATTGTGTGAACAAAATAGCCTTTTGACCCTGACCTTGCTGGATGAATTAGCTCTGAAACGCTCTCTGCAACAAGTAATGTATTTGTCCCACGTTTAGTTCTGATGGAGAATGATGAACACCATAGCACCAAACAAAAATCCGAGGGGTTAGATAATGTCTGGATTAAATAATTTAAGACTCTCTGGGGTTTTGGTTGTCATTTTTTATTTAGCACTGCCTTCAAGTCACTTTCTATTGCCTCATAGGTCACATTTGAGACAGGTTTGTGTCTGTTCCTTGCATCTGACTTCCTGTTGGTAAAGACACCTTTGAGGTCTCTTGCTCAGTTTTCTTCATTCATTATCTTGGTTTATCACCCCTCCCTCCTTTTCTCCCCTAAGTATTAAGCAGTTTCATCTTTGCTTTCTTTAAATATTTATTGTGACAGCAGTTAGTTTGTGTTAAGCTCTTGAAACTTGTGATTGTATTTTCTGTGTAGATACATATGTAATTATTTTATTTGTTAATCATCGATTCAAGCTTCCTTTTTATTTACCATAAATCACTAAAGTTATTTACATTTTCATGTATCTGTGTCTTGTATAAAATTGGCTTATTCTGTGCTGTTGAAGAATGAGGCTCAACATGACTTGTGAGGAAATCTGTCAACTAACAAAAGGTTATCTTTTTGAACATAGCACTTTTTAATTTTGAATAAAAATATTTCTGACATGTACTAGAGACTTTATTACATTAAATTATTCCGAATACAGTAAAACTTTGATAGTTTGGAATCGTCATTAAGAACATCAGTTACACAGTGATTCCTTTGTGGCTCTATACAAGGGAGAAGCCGGTAGCTTTTCCACATTCTCATGGCTGTTTTCTAGTTTACTTGGATTTGTAGCTGTTTCCCTTTTTCCTGACAGCTGCCATTTAGTAGCGATTTTTCTTTCTCTGCTAATACTTGACCATATCTAACTTTTTTTTTCTTTCACTGAGAAATGGAAACCAGATGGGAAGTATGTTAGAGTTATGATTAAAATAAGGTTAAATGAGCAGTGTGTGAGGGTTTTCACTGATTTCACCTAGGAGGTAGTTTAGCTACTTGAATTTTAGTAAATAGAATTTTTCAAGTGTTTCATCTGTCTCAGGTTTTTTTTTTTGCACCTGCTTTGTGAATTTAATAAGTGACGTCTGCCTAGAGGATTGTATTTGGGGAGGTTTGATGTTTCCTTTGGAAATGAGACCATTTACGGGAGGGAGTAGGGCTGCATTAACTGTCATTGCTTCCATGGGTTAATTGTATTCTAAAGGTTCATGGACCTTATGACAGTCACAACTCTCTGTTCTGTTTCCTACCCTGCAAGTATTAAAATGGCAGGAACAAATGCTTGTTTTATTTAATAACTAACAGCCACCATTTTCTTTGAAGATATATTGAGCTACAAATTGTAAACTCAATGTATGTCTTCATAAGTCAACACTTTTCAAAGATGTGCACCTCACACTACCTAAATAAACAACTACTGAGAAGTTATCTTCAGCTAAGAGCTCTAATTTTCTTTTAGTCAACTAAGGCTTATGCCTCCCTAACTAAACTGCAGACATTCTGACGAATTAGGGATCATTGATTATTTGTGTAGCTTTGTAAGGCACAAGGTGCATTTTCTGATACCTGTAAGTTTCTATTAGAATGGAGATGTGAGAGAAGCGGGAAAAGCATGTTCTTTAGGCTTAAAGGGTTAATAACTAAGTCTCCAGCCCTGTGGAGGGTCCTGCACAGGTTTTGAAGTTAGACCTGGATTTTGTTAACCATCTAACCTGTGTCATCGGTGATAAAGGTTGGGAATACTATTCATTTCACCTGGGTGTAAATATGTGTGAAAGTGCTGAGCACACTGTATACATTCACAACTCACCTTCCAGGACCACTGTCAGCACACTCATGAATAACTGGCTGTTGGTATCCCAGCTTGTGTCCGTCCTGAGTGTCCTGGCTCTTGTGTCCCCTGCACATCTATAGCTGGGTGTCCTCCCTCTTCACTTTATTGGTTTTAGCCGAACAACAACCAGAGCCAGGCCCTAGTTTCTTATTTCTTACCATCCCATCTGCACTGGTAAAGTCTGCCCATCTGTGTAGCCTCTCCTGTTCATTTCACTAAAATGTTCGCTTTCACCTTCTCAGTTACTGTACATAACAAGATTGTTTAGGCCTCCACACATAAGTGGTACACCTTGGACAGCATTGTAAAACTTCTATTACCATAATATAAACCCTTCTGCCACCCTGGCTTACGGCCTAAATAAAAGGATGTTGATCTTTTCTGCCTTAGTTTACAGTCTGTGAGACTCAGATTTTCATTAATACCACAAGTTTGTCAAAACCTTGCCCCATTTGCCTCCTGTGTAAAATGTAACCTAAAAATAAAGGTCTTTTTCAGAATCTTAGTAATGTAAATGAGGCTTTTTTGTTTTTGAGATGGAGTCTTGCTCTGTCGCCAGGCTGGAGTACAGTGGCACCATCTCAGCTCACTGCAGCCTCCACCTCCCGGGTTCAAGTGATTCTCCTGCCTCAGTCTCCCTAGTAGCTGGGACTACCAGTGTGCATCACCATGCCCAGCTGGTTGTTTGTATTTCAGTAGAGACAGGGTTTCACCACGTTAACCAGGATGGTCTCGATCTCCTGACTTCGTGATCCACCCACCTCGGCTTCCCACAGTGCTGGGATTACGTGCGTGAGCCACTGCGCCTGGCCATGTTTGAGTTTTTAAACAAATCTGTTTATAAAATTCTTACATCGTTACTGCAGAAATACAAAAAGAATGTCTGCAGGGTCCAAAAGCACAAGGAAGAAAACAGTCACAAAATCCAGGGACCATTAAACTGACCAACCATTTTGTGTGGCCTTCAGTGTTAAAAGTACATCGAATGCTGCTGATGGGGGACACGAGCTTTCATTCTCCACATCCTCACCACTTCTCTCTTACCTCTTATGTTTTTTTTCAGTTGGGCCTTGGAAACATTGACTTGATCCACAACTCAGGAATAACAACTATTAACATTCTTGTCTTTTTTTCTTTCCCCATAAAGAATAAGACAAGAATGTTATTCTCACAAATCACCACTAAAGAACTTACTCATGTAGCCAAATACCACCTGGTAACATGAATAAGTTTTTTAGTGGTGATTTTTGAGATTTTGGTGCACCCATCACTGAGCAGTGTGTGCTACACCGTATTTGTGGTCTTTATCCCTTGCCCCCCTCCCACTCTTCCTCCCAAGTCTCCAAGGTTCATTGTATTATTCTTATGCCTTTGCATGTTCCTAGTTTAGCTCCCACATATCAGTGAGAACATACGATGTTTGGTTTTCCATTCCTGAGTTACTTTACTTAGAATAATAGGGTTTGTTTTCTGGTTCCTTCTCATATGGGTTGGCACTGTCAGAGGAAAGGTCTATGGCTGTAGGCTGTTGTTCAGATTTTTTTGTCCCACGGGGTATTCCCTTGATGTAGTACGCTCCATCTTTTCCTGTGGATGTGGCTTCCTGCGAGTGATTGTTGTCTCTCTTCTGGGTCTAGTCACCCAGTGAGTGAGCCTGGCTCCAGGTTGGTACTGGGGTTGTCTGCACACAGACCTGTGATGTGAACAGTCTATGGGTCTCACCTTGGGCAAGTCTTGCTGCTGCTGGAGATGGGGGTG